ATATGCAAATTAACCCACACTCTTTGTTGTTAATTTGCATAGCCACTCCCGATTGGCTGGTGGGTGTTGCAAAGGAATGGTCAATTTGCATGTTATACTTTTATTAGTGTAGATGGCTTTCTTCTAAAAGCTTCAAGTTATGGGTGCTTATTTATTATTTCTGCCTCCCCAATAGCTTCCCCAGATGGCTAAAATCAGATATAATTTTCAAGTCTGGGGGCACTAAGGGGTCATGGGTGAACAGGATCAGCAGCAGCCACACTGGAACTACATCAGACCCTGTCTCCCAGGCCAGTGGGAACCCTCTCCCCACACACCAGGAAGCTTGGACGAGAGGCAGGAGGCAGCAGAAAGAGCACAGACTCTGAAGCCAAACAGCTTGGAGCCCAGCCCTGCTGAATGATGGTTCTCTGAGCATGAGTTTTTAACCTCTCCTGGGCCCGCTTTATGTTGCTTCTTAAATGTGCAAAGTTTCCAGTCCAATGCCTGCAGCAGATGTATTTAAGAAATGTTAGTTACTGTCCCTTGGCTTCACAAATATTCATTTATCTGCCCGCCTCCTCACCATGTCCATGCGGATTCCAGATCAGCCATTTCATATGGAAGTGCCCCAAACCGAACTCCTGGTCTTTTTCCGAAACCTGATTGTTTCTCCGTCCTTCATCTCCAAATGCAGTCGCACTAGCCTGCAAGGGTCACCTGTGTTTCCCATCAGTGTCTTGTCCTGGATTCTATCACCAGAACCTCCAACAATGCAACCTGCAAAATGTATCGCTAATGGGATGGCCTCTTTCACCTCTGCTGACCCAGCCTGTCTGAGCCAACAACACGACTGTTCAGGATGATCAGAGTCTCCCAGATGGCTTCCTTGCTTCCTCTCCCTCTCAAAAGGGCAGCCAGGATGATACACTAAAAACACAGATCATGTGACCCTGCTCAAAGCCATACCATGGCTCCTCATATTACCCAAATGGAAGGCAAAGTCCTCACAGGCCCTGCAAAGGAAATGCCATGACCGGACCTGGTCAACCCCACCCATTTCTGGGCTCCCTCTGCCCTGTTCTGACCTCCATTCTATTCCCCAAACAACTTCTGAAACTTCAGCCTGCTGCTCCATGTGCCCGGCCCATCATTCCACTCTTCCTTCACACCTGGCATACTTGCTTTCTTAAGGTTTTTGATTAAATGTCACTTCTCTTGTAAGACCTTCCATTCCCACCCTCTTTGAATATTAAAACTACACACACATGTGCACACCTGGGCACACAGGCATCTTTATTTCCTTTCTCTAATTTCCTCAAAAATAACCAAAACCCAACAAAACAAAAAACAAAAAACAAGTCACTGTCTACTGTACTATTTCACTTTGTCTTGTTGTGTATCTTGCCCACTCATATATACACTCATATAGGGTAGGGGTTGGGCTTGTTTTATTGTCTTTTCAAAATATATATTTTTTAATCTTTATTGTTGAAAGTATTACATATAGCCCTCTTTCCCTCCGTTGACCTCTTCCACCCCCCTACCCGAGGCCTTCACCCCTCTATTGTCTGTATCTACAGGTTAAGCATATATACATACAAATTCACTGGTTGACCTCTTCCCACCCACCCATCCTCCCCTGCCTTCCTCTGAGGTTCAACAGTCTGTCCGATGCTTCTACATCTCTGCATCTATTTTTGTTCATCAGTTTATTTTGTTCATTAGATTCCACATATTGAGACCACGTGGTACTTGTTTTTCTCTGGCTGGCTTATTTCGGGCTTGTTTTCTCCTTGCACCATCCCCAGTAGTCAGAAAACCAGTAAGCTCAGTTAATAGGATTGAACGGGTAACTCATAGTTCAATGGCATGCCTGAGTCTTTTCTGCTAAGGATCAGTGGCTCTGAAAATGCCTCCCTGGGTTGGAGCCGGCTCCCTAAGGATGCAGGCTGCTAATAAGGGAGGGAGGCGTTTGCCACTTGGGTAAAGTCGAGGGTCAGGGAGCATGCGGACACCCCCAGGAGGCACCCCTGTGGTAGAGGCTGAGAATGGGAGTAAGCCCCGACTAAATGGCTTCTTCTTGGACTCTCCACAGAATGACCCAGGTAAGGGGGATTTCACAGCCCCAGTAAGGAGTCAAGGGCATCCGTGACCTGCACATAGCAGCACTGCAGCCCAGACAGCAAGCTGTTCTGCAGTGGAGACAAATTAACATGGCCTAATTACATCCATGTCACTCAACGTGTTTACAATGACGGATGACAAGGGCGGTCACCATCACGAGGGGGAAGTCTCCGTCTTGGATCAGAAAGATGTGTTTGCGGGTCTGTCCTAAGGGAATCTTCCGGGACGTGACTTTGCTTCTAATTGGTCCAGTTTAGAAAAACAAGAACAAAACAAACCAAAAAAAAAAACAAAAAAAAAAAAAACCCAAACAACAACAACAACAGCAAAAAAACACGCACAAAAACTTGTACAAAAGACTGCCATATGGAGAAAAAAAAGAGCTCACTTGTCTTTCTTTTCACCTCCGTGTTTCCCAGATGTTGGGGTGAGCTTGGGAAAACCCCAGATGTTTTTATCCTCCTTGTTACAAAAATGTAACAAAGACTGTGAGCTCCTGTAGGCATGTGCCACGCTGGACAGGTTTAGGGAAGAACACTATCTGATACGTTCCTCTGTGGGCTGGGGCCTAGCAAATGCTGGAAATAAACCCAAAGAACCAACAAGCAAAATGCGGCCCTGCCCCTGTCCTGATCTTGGCCCGCACACTCCACTCTGCCCAGGAATGGCCTTGAATCACAAAGCCCAAACCCTGGACCAGCTCTGGGGGCAGCAGGAGCCTGAGAGCCTTGCCTTCCCGGATGAAACCAGGACTTAGCACCTCGGGTCCAGGAGGGAGGTTATGGCTGCAGAACCCACCAGCCTGGCAAGAAGAAATGTGCCTTCCTAGCCGTAACAAGTGACCCCTGTACCAGCCATGTTGCCAAGTTGCATCTATCATCCTGGGGAGACTTGCAGCCCTGAATGCAGACTCGGGTTGAATTTCTCAGGAGCCAACTCTGAAGCGGGGGTGTGCGTGCAGGAGGCTAATTTAGGAAGAGCCCTTGGGAGGGGAGCTGTGAGAGCCAGGGAAGAAAGCAGGGCTGAGCAGACGGAGAAATCCAGCTGCAGGGCAGTCCCGAGGGAGGCCACAGCTGCTCCTGCAGGAGTCTACACCCATCAGTTATTGCGTGACATGGGTTGCTCCAGGAAGGGGGCGTGGCCACAGGCAGGTGACTCTCCTTACCTGAGGCCACCCCCAGACAAGGCTAACGGCTGGAGGCCATCTGCAGGGAGCACACCCAGCTCAAAGGGCAACATGGCCATCTACTGGGCACCATCACTACTCCTATCCGGCAGGATGGCGCTCAAGGCCCATCGCCTCCTCTGTGAGGCCCTCCCAGCTGCCTTCTCTGACCCCATCAGGAGAAGGGGTAGTTCGCAAGCCTGTTACTGTCCCGGCACCGCCCCACACCCAGCAGTGATGAAGGAAGTACCTGTTGAATGAACACATCACTGAATAAGGAACATCAGCATAAAAGTATGAACAAAATATCATCTCATTATTGGTAAACCTGCCCCCAAGGAGTTCAATTAGAGCAGAAAAAAACAAGCAGAAATTACTGGGGAACTTGCATTCAGAAGCCAACGCCCAGGTGCTTTCTGCTCTCAGCACTGGGCAGAGCCGGTCTCCGCCAGGCTTCTGCTTACTGGTGAAATTGGAGAGACCCAAGCATTCTATGAGGCGATGGGAAAGCCGAGACACACTCAGGTTCGGCACTTTTGCTAAATGATGTCTCTATCAGTGTCCTTATTGCCATGGTGGGAAAGTAAGTTTTGATCCCGACAAGGGGAAGGGTGGAGGGTCAGAGTGTCCCCCAGGTGACACGCTGAGGGCTTTTTGTCAATTAGCCCAGAGCTAGGGACCCCAGGAAGAAAGCAAGCAGAGACCAGAGTAGGTGAGGAACTGTGCTCTCTGTCCCGTGAATGGAAACAGAAACCAACCGGAATACCCGGTGATTTATGAAAATGCTGTCATTTAAAATCACTAAGTGGCATCTCACCTTCATAGGATAAGGAGTTATAGAAGCGGGAAGAGGAATGTTAAACCCAGAAGCCAGAGTGCAATTAAAAAAAAAACCACACACACACAAAAGAAAAAAAATAAATCTCTTCATCAAATTTCCCTCTCCTTGTATCCGTCTAATACAGTGGTTGGCAAACTCATTAGTCAACAAAGCGGCAAACCGCGGCTCTGGAGTTGCATGTGGCTCTTGAGCCGCAGTTTGCCGACCACTGGTCTAATACATAGAAGAATTTTTAAGATATCGCCATTTAAGGACGACATCTGGGAAAAGGAGGTTAACCTATCAGCCCGAGATGTGTGCTGACCTGACACTGCTCTCACTTACGCACACCTATTGGCTCACGATTTCCCACCGGACACCCTCACCTACACCCTGGCCGCAGCAGAGCTACAGCCAGCGTTAATGAGAAACGAACCAGCTTGAAGGAACATCCTGGAAACATATGTGCCCCTTTAAAATAACAAACTGCAACATAAATGAAAGCACAGGCCACGAGAACATTTCCAGACCCTCCCTAATCAATAAGCATCTCCATCACCTCCCGGCTTTCTCTGCAATCCAGGTCTCCTCTGACAAAAAGAGAAACCCCATACAGGTAAGCCAGCACTCCACCATCCGCATACAAACACACACAGCGGATACCGATCTCATACAAAGCACCTCCATAGGGTTCTTCCCTCTGCATTCACTAAAGAAATGCCAATTCCAGTTTGAGGTTTTGCAAAGGCCAAGAGACCCGCTCCTCAACCGAATCTGTGATTCCTTATCCATTTCACGAACATGACCTCATTCAGAGTGCACCTCGTATCGCTTCAAACAGCCAATTACTATTCTCGGCATGCCGACACCTTCAAAGCCAGACGAGAGAAACGGGCCACAGTTAATTACCTTTGAACTTGTGGAACACAGCCCACAGCTCCGCGATGTCCGTGGCGAAGGTGATGTCTGTGTCAAGGACGATGACCCTCTCCAGGTTGGCGGGGAGAGTCTTGGTCAGAACCAGCTTCATCAGGCCGTAAATCCCCGAGTAATGCTTGTTGGGGATCCAGGAAACCTCAGACTGCGCCGGGCGAGGGAGAAGAAGGAAAAATAAAGTACCGCATTAATTTGTTTTGCATAAACGTTATAAATAGTGCATGGTACATAAAAAGCACCCCATACAAATTTGTGGAATAAATGCAATACTCTTTTCTTCAAGATTTGTTCATGTAATGTGCAGTGTGGCATGTGAAATTTTGGGGGGGAAGAAAATGCCTCTGAATCAAGGGAGAGGAAAAGCAATATTTATAAAATAACTATTAGGCAGAAACACTGTGCTCGGGTTTTAAAAATAACAAATAACATTTCTGCTATTACAGAAATTGGACAGGCTCAGAGGAGAAAATAAGAATATGCACAAAAGGAAAAAGAAAATTACAAAAATTGAAATGTACACATTTATACACACACACACACACACATATATATATCTATATCTATATATATATAGATATATATATATATATGTCAAACAGTAGCTAATGTTTTTCGAGGTAGATGTATTTCTTTCAATCATTAAAGATTACTACTCAGTGGTATTATTACAGCTTACGCTTATCAATTTTTTGAAGCAGTAATTAAACCAATTAATGTTGCTGCCTTCTCCTGGTTTTCACACAAACACAGGAAGAGAAACGGGTCATCACTGATGCAACACTCCTCACTGGGTAACAAGACACACACACACACACACACACACACACACACACACACACACACGTGCCTAATGAGCTCACGGAGGGCCATCCCTGAAACCCTCACCTGCTGTAACAACTTATGTCCTACAGGTGGGTAGAGTCGAATGCAAGACACCCAGCTTGGTACTATCTGGCACCCAGAGTCAAGGCTAAAAATAGCACATTCACACCAGTGTGAGGACAGCTCTCAAAGGACCAGGTTCTCTGGGGAGGTCACAGTGGGTGGGGCCCTCCCCCGCCTCGCTGCCCTGAGGGGTTTGCTTAAAAAGCACATTTCTCATTTCCATGCAGGTAAAGCTTGTAATGCAACTCTTCAGGGATAAACAGGGCCACTTCTCAGGAGCCCACAAAATATTCATCTCTTTTGTCCTTGTAATTCCTCTGTGTGGACACAGCTCTAAGAAATCTAGCCGAGTTTAACAGTGAGAAGTTGATAGCGCACTATACAACCTACAGCGGATGGAAGTGCTTGGGACACAAAGACCCTCCGTGAATCAGGCCCTAACTTCTTCCCGATGCCCCTCATTTCAGGTGTTCAGGTGGCCACACCCCTTTACCTGCTTCCCAGGGGAGGGTGAGGAGGGGTCTCTGGAAAATAGTCCAGCAGGAAACCTTCTGTTCTGGAGTCAGGCACACCTGGACTCAGATGCTGGCCTTGTCACTTAATTGCAAGGTCAACTGGGACATGTTTGCTTGGCCTTTCTGAGCATCTGCCACTTATAAAAATGCTTGCACTGTATCAGACATGATGTGGGCGGAAGCAGCATGGTCAACGTGGATCATGGGGCAGGGGTGGGTGGGGGTAATGCAACAATAAAGAACAGAAGCGTATGCAGAACTGGGATGAGGAAGGAGGGCAAGGATTAGGCAGCACCAGGGAGGAAGAGTGGGGGCCATTATTACCCAGGCCTGCAAAGCAGTGGCAGCAACTGCTAGAATCAGAGAGAATGGATGCCAGGTGAATAAGCCACTCAGTAGGTGCCATGGCCTTCCGCAGAGGGGCATGGGCTGCTTTTGACAATCCCCCAGGATGGGACAGGGAAAGAGACCCCAGCCTCTTTCCTCCTTCCCGCTGGTCTACTGGAGAAGCCCACTGAGCTCAGAGATTAGACCCTCCTAGGGCACAAAGCCTGGTGGAGGAGGGAGAGGGAGGACCTGAGGGACTCACCAAACACAACTAACGTGGGCATTGAATCAACCGAATCATGGCAAGATCAAAGCATAGCGCCTCATACAGAACAGATGCAAAATGCATGTGTGTAGGATCGGTGGGTGGGTGGATGGAAGGATGGGTGGGTGGATAGGTGGAAGGGTGGATGGGTGAATGGACAGACAAATAGACAACAGACAAACAGAGGGTTGGACAGCACAAGAAGGTGAGTTATCTGTCTGCAATTCCGCAGCAAGCAAGATGCAGAGCTGTAGTGGGAATCTGTTAGTAGGCTTGCCATCTGTTCCCAAACCACGTATTCCTTCCTCTGGAGTGAGCTTCATGACTCGCTGCCCGAGGCGTGGGGATTCTGCGGGCACTTCCTTGCAGCGGACTTCAGAAAACTCCTCCTGGGAGCCCAGCCTCCAGAACTCAGCTCAGCACTCAGCTCGGCTTCTCTCTCCCCTGGGAATCTGCCGGAGCTGGAGCTTGGCAATCTCCAGGCCATGCTACAGAGAGGAGTCATTTCTCCAGACCTCTCATTAGCTTATTCATCCGTGTGGTTATTCTCAGTGCAGGAGAGCTGGGTGCAGACTGAACCCCAGCACAGTGGTTATGCCACCTAATTAGGTTGTCCTGATGCTGGATTTACTTTATTTTATTTTTGTAAATATATTTTATTTATTTTTTACAGAGAGGAAGGGAGAGGGATAGAGAGTTAGAAACATCGATGAGAGAGAAACATTGATCAATTGCCTCCTGCACCCCCCCGATATGCCAGCAACTAAGGTACGTGCCCTTGACTGGAATTGAACCTGGGACCTTTCAGTCTGCAGGCCGATGCTCTATCCACTGAGCCAAACCGGTTTCAGCTGGATTTAATTTAACCTACATAAGGTGCTGAGATGCATCGCAGAACAATGGGACTATGGGAATGTAAGTAAGTCTCAACAGGAGCCCAAGCCTGAATGTCACCCCAACCCCCTTAATTTACCATATAATCCATTAAGTCAGAGGGTACAATTAGAGGAAACAGAAGCATCAATGAGTTTGATTTGGGAAAGAAAACTGAGGAATGTATGGGAAGAAAAAATGTGTGATAAGAAACAGATCTATTTATTATAAATGGCTCATTCTCAGAAGTAGCATATAAATAATATCCCTTCCATTCCCCCACCTTCATCCAAATTCCACATTTCTTTTAAATCTCAACTTATAAGGTACACCCCTCCCAACCCCTGGTTGGTACAACCCTCTGGCCACCACCTACCCCTTGCCCCCCCAGAGCTGGGTGCAGCTGTCCGCCTGCCTCCTGCACAGCAGGCTGCCAGCCTGGTCTAATTGCCCATGTCTCTCTCTGGCTCTGGGCTGGAACTCCTTGAGGCAGAGATGATGTCATTTTTACTGTGGAAACAAGTCATTACTCAAAAAAAAAAAATGTCTGATGAATGTGCATGGCTGCCGAGCTAGCCAGGCCTGGGTTTAAATGCTACCTCGGACCTTTGCCGCCACCAGGAGCAGAAGCAGCCATCACTGCTCAAGTCCAGGGTCCGGGTGGTACAATGGCAGAGGCACGGCTGGGTGAGCCCCACCGCCTGGGCTTTAGTACCAGTTCCACTGCAAATAAGCTGCATAGCCCCAGGCGAGTCACTGTGCCCCTGGGAACCTTAGTTTTCCATCTGCAAATTGGGAGCTTAGAACACTCACTTCACCGAATTGTTAGGAGGACTGCAAAGCTGGGCCGGCACCCAGTGGGCCTCTGTACAGCCCATTTCCCTTCTCCCAGTGAACTTCTGTCCACACAACCAAAGGCTCAGAGGATTCTGGATTTTGAGTTTGGTAAAGGCAATAGATTAGGGTACCTTTGGCGGTACAGGGGAGGCTGGGAACAGAGGTGGTTTTGGTGGGAGAAGTAAATCACCCATCACCTGTTCTGGTATCCATACTAATAAAAGGGCAATATACTAATTGGCCTGGATAGACCTCAGTGGCTGCAAGGGCTGAGGGCTGGCAATGCAGGAGAGGTGGCTGCGTGGGTGGTCCAGCTCCACAGTCCCTTCCGCAGAGGAAGCAGGAGAGAGGGCTGTGCAGTCCCGGTCCCGGTGCTGCCCCTTCCACAGAGGCATTGGTGTGGGCACATCCTGGTGCCACGCCTCTGCAGAGGCTGGACAGTGTGCAACCTGCTGTGCCTCAACCTCCCATAGCCCCTCCCCAGCCGGCCTGGCCTCAGATCTCTCCCCCCCACTCCCACCCACCAGTGGGCAGGGAGCATGGCCAGCACTAAGAAGGGAGGGCCTAGAGCCTGCAGCCTTGGTGGCCAGCAATGGCGGCAGCAGCAGGGTGAAGGAGCAGTGCCTTCCCAATTCACTTGGCGGTCTCCCACAGAGGGAGGCCAGACTGTGGCTAAGGCCCACTCCCATCAGTTGGACATCCCGTGAGGGCTCCCGAACTGTGAGAGGGGGCGGGCTGGGCTGAGGGGACCAATTCCCCAGTGCATGAATTTTCATGCACCAGGCCTCTAGTATCTACACAAAGACGAACAAGATCACAAGCTGAAATCTACCAGGAAACTGGAAACATCCTCTGGTAAGATCTCCAAATGGGAGAGCAACCCCAGGTGATTTAGGAGGAGGACATGTGGGTGGGACTGGTCACCCAGGCAACCTATGGGGCAGTCTCTTGCTACAACCCACAGTGGTATTGATCTCATTCCCACCCTGCAGTGAACTTCAATCTAACCAGGGACACTAAGTCTGGGTCTGTGAACAGAAGAGCATCCCCTTAGGGAAGGTGAGAAAACCTGGAGGGCAGCATGCAGACAGACCCAGGATCCTACAGAGATGCCAGTCCTGGCAGGGCAAGATCCTAGTTATGTTTTTTTTTTTTTTTTTTTTTTTTTATCATTATACACACACCAAAGGGTCCATGTAATTAAAACGCTATAAAACTGAAAGTTAGGCTTATTTTAATGGACATATTCTTACCATTGCAATGGCTGTTAATAATCCTAAGCAGCATGTTCTAAGAATTAATTAGCAGAAGTGCAACTGTGCTCAAGAATACCGCCTAACACACTTATATAAAGGAGAGTATGCACGCCAGGGTTGAGGGGGTTTCTGTTTCAAGTGGGGGTTGGGGGAAATTCACCTTGCCAGGGCTGAGGGTTTCTTGGGG